CCCCCCCCCCCCCCCCCCCCCCTGTCAACACATCCTACAGAAATATGACATTCCTATAATATGGCTGATTGGATGGGTAGTGATGTTTTGCTCAACTGTTCATCATATAAAAAGCAGAGTACACTAAACCTGACTACTAAGTGGCTGTCAGACTCACCTTGTTCTTTTACTCTGTACACAACACAGCTGAAGAGCTGAGCAGGGAGAGAGGGCAGAAGAGGGAATGAATCTTTGGTGGTCATCTGCCTTGCCTAGGCGAGTGGCAGGAGAGGGAGGAGAGGGTGTCATATCATTAACTACTCATTAACTGCTTTTATGCTGGGTGGACACTAATCATGGTTGTTATGTTATTTTATGTCAATGGTACATATATGCTTTAGTATCTTGTATCAATAATCGTTGGATGTTGTCCTTCAGTAGCATTTTAAATGAAACTGACAAATTTCAATTGAGATCTTACACTACTGTAAAATTGATATTAAAATCTTTTAAAAATCCAAGCTTTCACCAATCTACCGCATCATCAGGGATGATGATGCCATAGATCAGCAAAAGCTTGGATTTTTAAAAGATTTTAAAAGACTTTAATATCAATTTTACAGTAGTGTAAGGCCTCAGTTGAACTTTTGCCAGCTTCAGTATCTTGTATGTTAGTTACTATTCTGGAGATTGTATCAGTGAATGAACCTTTCAATGTCAGTTCCATAAGCAAGTGTCACCAAAAGGTGCTTCCTCTACTACCAATACTTGGCTACACCTCTGAGATACATCCTCAGTTGAACCATCATTTTTTTAAACCTCCCGAAAACTAGAACCAAAAGTTGTTTCCCTTTTTTCCCTCAGTCGAACACTGTAATTTTACCCCCAATTTCTCAAACTATCCGATTTTCCGAACCAATTTTCGTTTCCCTTGGAGGTTTGAAAAATCGGGATTCCACTGTATTGTTAATATTAAGTTTATACATGAAGCATTAGATAGCATGTTTTAGTAGTCTACATTTTGGCCCTTTCTCTTGGTCAGTATTCTTACTTAATTTTATGTCTGAAACCTGTTTACATTAATACACTGTACCTGGAGCTTATTGTCACTTCAATCATTCCTTCTTCCTTCAAAATCCTCAGTCTGTATGCTTGCTTGTAGTCTTGCGACGGCCTCATCCAGAACATGGCAGCATCTCTATACAGAACAGGTTGGCCATTTGGATATTCAAGCATGCTGTTCTTGTGGGCACGAGATAGTAGGCGATGGAACAGGGGTTCTGGAAGAAACCTCTTAAAAAACACATAGAACTTCTTATCTGTGTTATCATCTTGCCATATTGGTGGCATGCAGCCATCTGTAGGCATTGGTAGCAGGGATGGAACAAAGTGAGTTGGCTGGTTTTGATCATCATCTTGGTTACACATTTCCACCCTCCTGTTTGATAAAGGGCAGATCAAATCATATTCCTCGAGGAATCCAGTCAGGGCTTCAGTTTCTTGCTCTGCAGTAGAGATGATTCTTGTCAGCAGTGATTTAGTCAGCTTTCCTTCTTCTTGCAGACATTTCCAGTCACGTCTGAAGCCTCTTTCCTTGATCATTTGTGGGGGTGGCATGACAAGCTTGATGATGATATCAACCAGTATCTCAGGCTTGAGAAGAACCCACCTGGACAACTCTGGATCTTTGTCAAGGTATATTACCAGTCCTTTTTCATGGAAGTACTTCAAGGTTTCTTCAGACCAGTTGGTGCAAATAAAAGTTCCAAATGCTGTTGGAAACTCTTCAAGCGTCACACAGAACTTGGCATTCTTGTTTTCTCTTAGACTAATAATCTCGTCCTGAATTTGGATCCATGATAGAGATATGTTGCGACCTATAGTTCCCCTGCGTTCCTCTGCAACTGCCATGATTTTCTTTTGCAGACTTTGAACTCCAGGGTCATTTTGACCTTGGGAGTTTTCAACCGGAAAGAAGATTAACTTGTCCACATCATTCTCGATAATTTCATCACAGTAGAGATGCCAAAGGTCTCTCTTCAGATAGTCATTTGTCTCCTCCATCACAATTTTGTCAATGTTTCCTCTATGTGTTCCAACAAGGAGGATTGGAGTTTTGAGTGGCACATGGCTACAGACAGATTCAAACCACAGATGGAGTGTCTTGATTTTTGCATGTATGTCTTTGAAGCTATTTTCTGCAAACTCAGCCATGTTGAATACAATGGCATAAATGGCCTGGCTCCTAAGGAACATATGATGGTAGGCATGATACTCTTTATCTCCAGCAAAATCAAGGATCTTCAGACTAGGGTAAGAGAACTTTTCATTCAGAGAATCTCGTAAACGACTTTGATTCAGTGCTGCTTTCTCTATACAAACTGCAGTGAAATTAGTTGAACCTTGGTGGTCATTACCAATAGTGGCTGCTGCAGATGTAATGCAAAAGCATTCTTTGTGGACTGTATCACAGCAAAATACAAGGAATGTTATAATTCTGGTCACATCTAGAGGTAGCAAACCTCCAACAAAATAAAGGCAAATGGTCGCAAAAATGAATATTACTTTGTAACGCCACCCAGGTATAGATTTTACAATCCTTGGCACTGATTGAAGTAACATAAGTAAATGACAGATGACCACCAATGGTATGTAACTTATTGACTTAGTCCTATTCGGATTATGTATCACCAATATTATAAAGCAAGTGAACGTGAAGCCTATAATAACAGTTATCACGAAACGGCCAATGAAGATGATTTCTACAGGTCGTTGGTTCTTAAATTTTAGTTGTCCCGGATGGCGACACTTCCTGACGATCGCAAACGACTGCTGAAACAATCTTGACTCTTTGCAAAGATAGAAGAACAGGAAACCTAATAGGGCAGAGAGAAGTAAATACTTGCTAAAACTATATGCAGGCATTCTTTTAAAGAGATAGGCTTCAGACAGAACAGAAATAAATATACCCATTAACAAGCCACGATAGTTGACAAAGAAACTCCATGCGATTGCTATTAGTCTTATGGGTTCCGAGTGAAAAATACACCATTCCCCCAAAAAACTGAGCAATGGCAGAAAAACCGCAACTGAAAGAATTATTCCTGGATTCAGAGTAGTATCCATGACTAGACAGCATAGTAGAGCAGATAGCAATACACGCTTCCAATTTGCCCTAGTCTCCGCTAGGGGATCGTTACCCCGAAAAGTCGTGGACTCTTGAACAATTACATTGCCAGCTTTTCCAAAGACAGTTAACTGAACAAAGACGTTTTGAAAGAATTGACTGAAGTTTCCAAACATAAGATCCGTTAGCTTCAAGTTTTGCCACGTCTCATTCACAAAACTTTGATCAATTCCTTGCGTTTTGGGTTGCTCGCGATCGAAAGGTTTTCCGGTGAGCGACTTCACCAGACTTGTTTTTCCAACCCCAGACTCTCCAAGAACCAAACACTGTCCTTGAAACACAAACTGCTTGCATACTCTATCTTCTTGATCTTCTGGTGCAGGCTGCAATCCCAGGTCCTCGAGCAATCGCTCGTAGGTCCTCCTTCCTTCTGGTAAACGACGATCAAGCTGTAACTGCGCCATTATGTTGTTGTAAGTATCAAGACTCTCATCTTCTGTGACTTGTATACGCTGAAAGTCGAGGCACGCTTCGCGATCCATGAGTAAAAGAGAATGCTTTAAGATGTCGACCGCTTGGTTGCTGCTTATTCGAGGCAGAGCAAATGCAGGGCTTTGTCCCAGATCTATATTTGTTTCCGTGACATCATACTTTCCCATGCTTAGTCCTCCCGGGCGTGTAAACCGCGCGCGGGTTGCAAGCTCAACCAGGCTGAAGTTCAAGTTTAATAAATGCAACGATTTTTTTGTGGCAAACTCCTCCCAAACCATCGGTATTCATTCCTTCGGATATCCGTTTAACAAACAGATTCCATGTTGCCGTGCGTCTATTCAGTATTAGTATAAATTACTAGCTTTCTATCACGAATGCCGTTCTCTGATTGGCTACGCTACTCACTATTTATTAAACAATAAGATTATGAGAGAGATTTCTATCGCGTGATAGTTGACGAGGGCTATCATGCATAGAGATCGAGAGCGAATAATCTAATTGTTTTAGTATAAATTTAAAAACTTTATCTATATCCTCTTCAAAGACACCTCGAAAACGTAAAGAAGCGGCCGTCATGTTGTTAACAAGCGCACACTGCTACGCTACTCACTATCTATCACAGATTAGTATAAATCTACTAGCGTTCTATCACGAATGCCGTGCTCTGATTGGCTACGCCACTTACTATCTCTTCTGTGAGAGATAGAGAGTAGCGTAGCAGTGTGCCCTTGTTAACAAAATGACGGCCGCTTCTTGGCGTTTTCAAAGTGTCTGTAAGAGGATTTAGATAAAGTTTTGAATGACTAGTAGATTTATACTAAACCAGTTAGATTGTTCGCTCTCGATTTCTATGCGTGATAGATGACTTGGGCTGCGCCCTCGTCAACTATCACGCGATAGAAATCTCGAGCTCATAATCTAATTGTTTAACAGATAGTCAGTAGCGTAGCCAATCAGAGAGCGGCATTCGTGATAGAACGGTAGTAGATTTGTACTAATCTGTGATAGGTAGTGAGTAGCGTAGCAGTGTGCCCGTGCTAACAAAATAGCGGCCACTTCTTGGCGTTTTCGAAGTATTTGTGAAGAGGATTTAGATAAGGTTTTGACAGACTCGTAGATTTATACTGAAACAATTAGATAACTGTTTAATAGATGTTGAGTAACGAAGCCAATCAGAGAACGGCATTGGTGATGGAAAGCTAGTAGATTTATACTAAATACCTTTGGAAAACTTCTAGAGGTGTCTCGCGTCCAAGGGATGTAGCGCGTATGGTTTGAACTGTAGATACCTAAACTCCTATATGAAATTAAAGCTTAAAGAACTGGGTATCATAATATACCAAAGAATTTTGAAATAAAATGAATTGTCGAATTTTTCACGACCTCGAGATGTGAGCGTCCGAACCATCTTTTGGGTCCCTTTTGAAGGCTACACGTCGAAGGGAATTTGTTCGTTTGCCCTAAAATTTGGACAGTAGCTAATTTGACATAGCAACAGCAAAGAGATGTCTGCGAATTTTTTTTCGAAATATTTTTTCTCCAAAAGCGATTTTTCTACGGTCTCTCCATATATTCGAAAATGTTCTGTAACTTTTCACTGAAATTGAATATGGCAAATGGCAGACACGATGTTTTAGCGCTTTGGGTCTGGAAACTGAGGAATAAATTAAGTAAACGAAGAACAAAGTTCGCTTCCACTTGTAGCTTTCAAAAGGGGATTCGGACGCTCGCATTTACAGATCGTATCTACTATTCTTGGAATAGTTTGATAGCCAGCTCTATAAGTACAAGAATAGTTTGATAGCCAGCTCTATAAGCTTTATTTTGATATCGGGCTTTAGGTATCTACAGTTAAAACCGGACGCGGTACATCGCTTGAACGTGAGACACCTCTGAAGGTATTCTGGTGATCGTCGTATTCTGGTGATCGATGCGTGTTATAGGAGACGTGGACTTCGATTGCGTAAAAGCAAGCAAAAGCTTACTTAGTCGAAGGTCACGTTTCCTTTAATTCATATACCTGTAAGAACTTGGAGCCGTAAAACTGTAGAATCAATTGCAAGACGTGATTGAATTTTGTTTTTTTCCCTGATTTGTTGAGAACAAAGCCCTTGTGACTTGATGAGAGCAGTTTTGCAGATGTTTGGAGTTCAGCAAACACCATACTAGAGTCCACCGGCCTATTTCAACTTCTTCCGATAACCATAACTGCGGTCTAACTTGACCTAACTACAGTCACTGTACTTTAAATTTCCAAGAAATAATGGTCTAACGCTAAAGGCTTGTTTCCACACTGTATCGTGACTGAACAAGACTTGGAAATTAAGAAACGTCTAGTGAATGAGAAAATAGCTTCTTTCGTTTGCTAGTGAGCAACATGAAACAGACGCAGTGGCCAAGATACATCCTGGTACATAAGTTAACTTGCTTTGGAGAATATCCAACTGTTCTTCATCATTTTTTTGTAATCAATATGGCACTAAATTGCGCTTTTTCGTTTACATGCATGGCGATCAGCTTGACTTGAAGGGAACCCATTCAGTGTTCAAAAGCTACGAAGAGTGTTGTGGGATGAAAGAAACCCATTCAGTGTTCAAAAGCTACAAAGAGTGTTGTGGGATGCTAGCTGGGAAATGAACTCACTTTACCTGCCGAGAAAACTAACATGTGGGTAAGACATCGGATGGGCTCAATAAACAAGGTTAAATTAACCCTTTTTTGAACAACTGGGCCCGGACTGCGGTTGATCGTGTGCAAGGAATCATTATACTTTGTTTGGAAGTTGCTTGGAAATGTGGAGAATCAGAATCGGAAAGACTTTGATGAGAGATAAGCTTTAGCAGCCTAGTCTGAAGGGAACCTCTTCTTCTCATGAAATGCGCGGAATGACGAATAACGTCCACGGTCATAGACTGACTGAAAAAATTACTTTATTTGTTTGGCTGAGAGCAGGCAAATTTTTCGTTAACTTTGATTTACACAGTGGTGCAAATTAGAACAGGCGCGTTCGTTATTTTCTCGTTCTTAAAGTAAATGAGTAATCTTGTGAAATTTTAAGCAACTAAGGATTTTCACTTCTCTAGATATTATTAGAAAATTCTTTTAAATAGTACTCACCTAAATCTCGTGCGATTTTTAGTCCATATGATTTAGATGTGTCGAGTCAACAATTTATATTGCCACCTGACTCTTTTCTAGTCGTCTCTTGTGAGAAAATATTAAGAAGATGCGGGGGAAATGGGAAAGAGGCGGGCAGAGAAGGAAGATCTCCTGTCTTCTATCCTTCCCATCATACGATGGGTCAGTGATAGAGATGAGTAATTACCAAATGGTAACACAAATCCACTGTACTGTTTGGTGTTATGAACGTTTTGGGGAAAATGTAGGTGAAGCTAGCACTTCTTATCAGGACCATTTAGCTTGCTGCGCAGCTAAGATGGGAAAGTTAGTCTCGTGGGGCTAATGGGTGGGTTAAGAGTATCTGGAGTAAACCTAAGGACCTTGATAGACGAGTAAGGTAGATTTTGACTTTTAAATTTGATGACAAATTAGTATTAGTGCTCTTTAGTGTATATCTACTAGCGTTCTATTACAAATGCAGTTCTCTTATTGGCTACGCTACTCACTATCTATTCTGTGATAAATGGTGAGTGTCGTATCATTGTGTCCTTGTTAACAAAGTGAAAGCCGCTTTTTGGCGTTTTCGAAGTGTCGGTGAAGAGGATTTAGATAAAGTTTTGAACGACACTAAAACAATTAGATTATTCGCTCTCGATTTTTATGCGTGATAGTTAGCTCGGGCTGCGCCCTCGTCAACTATCGCGCGATAGAAATCTCGAGCTTATAATCTAATTGTTTGGTAGATAGTGAGTAATCTAGCAGTGTGTTGTTGTTAACAAAATGACGGCCACCTCTTTGCATTTTCGACTGAAGAGTCTGTGAAGAGGATTTAGATAAGGTTTTGAATGACTAGTGGGTTTATGCTACTGAAAAAGTTGGATTGTTCGCTCTAGATTTCTATCCGTCGCAGTTGACTAGGGCGCATACGCCAGCGTCTAAAGTTATCTATGAGTAAATCTTTAGGTGATATCTTCTTAACTAGCGTTTGTTGTATATGTCAAAGTGCATGTTGCTCGGAAACCGCTGGCAACCAATAATGATTGCTCCGTAGGAGACCATTGTCAGTCGCAGACGAAAAACTAGTCTGCAACTTCAACCTCTTCGGTTATAGAAAAGCTCTCCAGTCTTCGCTGACTAGTTTTTACAGTTTGTTATCTATAACTTGCGTCATGAACTTGCTTGTTAGTTATCTAAAACTTATTGTTATCGACCGCTAAATGGTTTTCCGGCGACAACAAACTTACCAGTCATGTCAAGGCCCAAAGAAACAGCAATTTGATGCTGAAGACGGATTGCTACAACATCCTTTCCAAAAAGAATCTTTTATTCGAAACGCGCGTTGTTCAAAATTAGGCTTTGAAGAAAGAGTGTAGCATATTTATATTTACAAGAAAACCAGGTAGGAATTGGCAAGCATCATTCAGCTTATGCCTTTCTAACTGTCTTAAGGGATTGTGTGTTTATACTGTCCAAACACTTATTGTCAAACAAAAACCCCGGTAACAAATTTCGTTTCTGATAAGTCTTCCTGCCATCACGTGAACCGTTTCCATTTGTCATATTGTCCAATCAAATCCAAGCATGAGTACTCGTACGTTCTCGCAACCTTGACGCGTCCATATGGCGCCATAAGAAGTCGTTAGTTACCTAGCAACGTGTCTAACAAAACATCGCAGGCTCAGTCGATGCTTGACTCCAACCAGAAACGGCAGTTTTTCCCTCAAATGCCAAAATTACTTCAAATATATTCTAGCATCAGCGCGAAGGTGGACGGAAGTTTACATCATTAAATAAAGGTTGACTCTGTTTTTACTGACCAGTTCTTGTATATACAATAAGCGAAAACGTTGGCTTTGATATTAATATTCATAAAATATTTACACAATAGAAATTTTCGCGTTTTTGGTTGCCTTCTGTTATCTCGTCACACCACTCGATGTTGCGTGACAAACTTACGGGAGCTACTGTCACGTCATCGTTTGCGTTATACCGAGTTAACTCAGATGAAAGGAAAGCACGGAATGGCACTGTACTAAAGTATAAAAATACCAAAGATGTCCGCCATAAATGAAATGGATCTCGCCTGATACGTTGAGAGGAATTATGAAACATGAACTTGAATAATGCATGACACTGAATGTTTCAAGAGTAGCAGTCATCTGTGGCATGGCTCCCTTAAAGAAGGCTACACTTTTCGCGGACGTATATTATCTTTAAAAATTCGTTGATAATCATTTTTGTTAGCTAAAGAATATTCAACAGCAGTAGAACAGATGTTAAGAAAATGAAAATCTTCCCAATTGAGTTGTAACCCGCAGAATTGTTGCTTGAATGGCTTTGATCGCGACCATGAACAATAACAATCATGTCTTTTTGCCTTGTAGGCCTTTCTGGGTTCGTTGCTAAGGTTGCTTGATTGGTTGTTTCGATCCTGGTATTTTGCGTGGAGTATTGAGTAGGCTTTGTTGTGGTATTCGATAACTTCTTGTTGCCGCAAACTGAAAAAAAATGAAACAGATAAAAAAATGAGTAGATAGGACAGTTCGACACATTGTAACCCTGCTATACGCCCCTCCCGTTTATACGACCATCTTGTTATTTCGGCCCATATTTTAACGCGACTGAAAGCTCGAATTAACACACTCAATTTCATCAACCGCGATGCCGCCATTCTAACGGCATCTCCCATCTCCATCTCTCTATTCCGCCATGTATCCGTTCTTTCGTTTGTCCGTCGCTCTCTCGCACCCTCTCTCCGCTTTTCCCCCTCCCGTCCCATTCCCTCCCTCCTCTCTCTTCCTGCCCTCCCTCCTTCTTCCCTCCCTCCCCGCCCTCTCGTCCCTCCCTTGTCTACCCCATTCAACCATCCTGTATTCGAAGGGATCCTTTGGCGTGTATAGCCTTTTAGTATAATATGTGAGTTGAATGAAATCCGTAACGTTCTTCTCGGCACCGAAAACAAGTTCCGAAAATCTTAGAAATCATAAAAAATAAAGAAAACTGATCGCATATTAAATTGCTTCTAATATACCAGGTTAACAAAGATAATCTGGCAATCTCGTTTGGCGATGGTTTGACTGAGATCCCGTGTTAATGATTTAGCAACGAATGAAGTCAGTAATATTAACTTACCAACACTGGCCATTTTACATCCATAAATTTCGAGTCGTACACAGGGCCTTTCATTCTGTCCAGACAGTAACGGTTGAATTCGGACGAGTCGAGCTTTCAAGGGAACCGGCAACGTGTTTTGCCTAGCACGTAAATTCTTTCTGTAACCATCAAAGATCTGGAGAAAGATACAGTCGTAATGTTGACAAGTTGATCCAAAAGAATTTGACACAACACCATAGGAATTTGAAACAATTTCCAAAGGTAATTTGACTGTTCTCATTTGCTTTTTCCTTAACTGGTTCTAGTAACTGCAAAACACAAACATCTGGCATTGCTTCTCTTTTCGCCTTTTCACTGTTATAAATTGTGGGACAACGAAATAACTCCCTGTTTGCAAGATTAGGGGAAGCTATCTTGAGGGGAGAAACACCGTAGTCTTAAACAAATACTTTGAACTGAAATATCAATGCCAAGATTTTTCATGTCCTAAGGATTTTGGTCATGGATCGTATATTTCTCACACCATTTTTCGTACTTTGTTAATAGTCTACTTTCCCCTGAATCTGTGAAAGGCTCTCACCCAAAGTGCTCGCCTGGAAGCTAACTGAATATTTTGCGGAAAATGAAAAGAGTTTTGGACTTTTGTGTCAGCAGAGAGCTTCACGCGAGATGCCTACTCTTCCGAGAAAACATGGAACGTGCGGTGAATGAAATTACCTTTCCGTATTGATAATCAAACCAAGCTTTTCCATCACAGCTGTAGTTTAGTTTGTATCTTAAAGCCAGGTTTCCATTTGCTTGCACACCTTGCGTCGCTATAGCGGTGATAATAGAGTTGTTGACCAAGTCCACTTGTAGATACGGATTCATGTCCGAATCGTCCGCACACCACCCACCTAAGGACATTTGTTGAGCACTCCTGAGAAAAAAACAGCAGTCCATCAAAAACCTAAAGCCTATTTATACAGAGCGCTCTGGCCAATCACAATGGTCACAGACAATACAACGAACCAACCAAACTCGAAGCAAACACAATAGATGAGAAAAAGCGCGGGAAAACGTGTGTGAGCGAGTCGCGATTGATTGATTGGGTGACAAAGTGTACCGAGCACTTTAAGCCAGTAGCTCAGCGTAGTGATTACTTTGATTTTAGTTTTTTAAAAAAACGCTTCATTAGAGATAGAATCGCTGGTGACCAAACTGGTTAACTAGGTTGGCATCACACTTTTGAATCGATTGGAAAGCATCTCGTATGATACTGACAATCAACTTACCCTTGGTTATGAAGTCTTGCCTCGGATGGTCTTGTCCAAAGACTCTTGAACGAGGAAGCTTTGATCTGAGAATCGTTAATACCACCAGACTGCATCCCCAAAGCATATGAACAAGCTGAAGAAGACATGATAAAAAGACGAGTGTAAGATAGATAAACTGTGGTCGGCCATATAAAGACATGGTGATAATTTGTTGGAACCATCAGCAAAGCGATACTGAGGTTGTCAACTCACCGATGGGTGTTGCATTTGTAGTGGCTGCTGCACCGTCTGTGGGTGAATCAGCCGACCCAGATCCCAAGGTCGAGGATTTTGATGGTGCTCCTGTTAAGGGTGCGTTGCTTACAGGAAAAGAATGCAGAATAGTTTGGGTTGTTGCCATGGCAGCTGTAGCTTGTGTTGGGTGAGGACAGGCTGAAATGAAACAATAAGAGAAAAAGTGAGATCGGCTTTATTAAGTGCTTATTTGGTAAATGATTATTCCAAAGTCAATTCAAAACCATGATAATATCTTGCGACAACTACTACCACCACCTCCAAAAGGACAATACTAAAACCTGTCTCTAGCAATGTTAGCTTTGCAAGATTAGGTGGGAGAGAAAGGATGTGAACATGGGCAATGAGTGAACAAGCGAGACCCCAAAAAATTAAGTATCTAGAAATAAATACGGCTGAAAATATAGATAGTCAACCATTACCAAGACATAAGGGTACTGCAACGTTTAACATATATTCTGAGCTCATCGTTACGAACATGGCATCATTTTTCTTTTTTCTTAAGTTAAACTCCATTTCTATCTTTTGATGGTTTGATTAAATTGATCTTTCTGTAAATTAATGTAATTTTATTTCTACCTTGTGTTCCCTGGCATCCGTACAATTCCAGTCTCAGACATATTGATCCAAGCTGGTTCCACGCAATAGGTCTCACTCTTATAAACCGTGCAACTATCGGGGAAAATAGCTTGTTCGTCACCACACCATCAGAATCGTTATTTGCCTTAAATATCTGCAGAGACAACAATTTTTAAGATCAAATCATTGTTACTGCAAATTATCAAAGTGTTTCCATTTGCTATTAATAATATAATAAGTAGATGAGAGTGAAATTAAAGTGTTGAAGTTGTTATGTGAAAGCCTTCACTATTTCTCCTGGTTTACCCCACGAAAGAGGCGAATAAAACTCAGCTGCTTCGGCAAGCAAGCTTATAACTGACAGTCCACGACTAGTATTGCTATGTTCGCCTCTAAACTTAAGTCATCTTTTTCAGTGTAAGTATGTTCTACTTCTCTTAGTGTACTTGTGTGTGTTTTTTTCGCTTTTTACCCTTCCTTTGCTTTTGGTGCATTCGCGCACCGTTTAGTTTTTCTTAACTACTTTTTATCCCACATTATGATCCTTTTGTGTGCCGTTGACAGCATTTTTATTCTTTTGGTAAGTCTTAGGTATTTTTAAGGTAGTCCTGTACATAAGCCCTAATGGCTTCCATGGGCTTCCTTGCCTTATACGTTGATATGTTGTAAATGTATTTATAAATGCCAAAATAAAACAAGAACAAAACTGCGTAGGGAGGTGTTTATTTAAAGTGTTAAAGGAATGTAGTTGTCAGTTTATAAGAAAAACAATTTGGACAAGCACCGTTGAAAAAGTGACTCGTTCGCACACGTTTACCAACGCATCGCGCCAGCTACATTTTTTTAACTTCAAGTTATGATTGGTTCACTGGATTGTCTGTTAATTGTGATTGGCCGAAGTGATAACTTTGGTTTTGGTTTATCAACGCTCACTTGAAAACCCGCTCTATAAGGCCATCCCTTAAATAATAATCATGATATGACTTACAACAAGCGCCCCTTGGTGCGTGTATGAGAACCACNCCTTCACTATTTCTCCTGGTTTACCCCGCGAAAGAGGCGAATAAAACTCAGATGCTTCGGCAAGCAAGCTTATAACTGACAGTCCACGAATAGTATTGCTATCTTCGCCTCTAAACTTAAGTCGTCTTTTTCAGTATAAGTATATTCTACTTCTCTTAGTGTACTTGTGTGTGTTTTTTTCGCTTTTTTTCCCTTCCTTTGCTTTTGGTGCATTCGCGCACTGTTTAGTTTTTCTTAACTACTTTTTATCCCACATTATGATCCTTTTGTGTGCCGTTGACAGCATTTTTATTCTTTTGGTAAGTCTTAGGGATCTTTAAGGTAGGCCTGTACATAAGCCCTAATGGCTTCCATGGGCTTCCTTGCCTTATACATTGATATGTTGTAAATGTATTTATAAATGCCAAAACAAAACAAGAACAAGACTGCGTAGGGAGATGTTTATTTAAAGTGTTAAAGGAATGTAGTTGTCAGTTTATAAGAACAACAATTTGGACAAGCACCGTTGAAAAAGGGACTCGTTCGCACACGTTTACCCACGCATCGCGCCAGCTACTTTTTTTTAACTTCAAGTTATGATTGGTTCACTGGATTGTCTGTTAATTGTGATTGGCCGAAGTAATAACTTTGGTTTTGGTTTATCAACGCTCACTTGAAAACCCGCTCTATGAGGCGATCCCTTAAATAATAATCATGATATGACTTACAACAAGCGCCCCTTGGTGCGTGTATGAGAACCACTTGGCTCCATCACAGCTGTAGTTTAACGCGTACTCGGTCACCCAGTTACCATCTAAGATGTCACCCTGAGTAGCGACCGCTGACACGTTGGTTGTCTTCAGCAAATCAACTTGAAACCATTGCTCCATGTCTATGGGCTCTGCACACCAGGCCCCAAACGAATCCGAACTCCTAAAATTGCGAGAGAAGCAGCCGTGGGTGAATTGGAATCTGACTATAGGCCTCTATTTAGTTTAACAGGTATGCTGTTCAAGGCTCTCAGTTTGCGGGAAAACTCAGAAAGGAGGGCGAGCTAAAAGAAAACGCAGAGACGTTGGGGCTGTGTTCAATTTCAAATCGATTCCTGGTACAACGCCTTTAAATGAAAATGCGTTAGATTTATACACGAACATAAGCATGTCACCAGGACTCGCTATGAAACTGAAGCGAAGGGAACTCGAAAAAAGCCTTCCCACTTTGCCAGGTGAAGAGGGACACAAAGGAAATAGTTTCTGCTTTTTTGTGGTTATTTCGAGCAAAAGGAAACCACGACCGTGGTATTGCCTTTAATCCAAGTCTCATTGTTTTATTTTGAGTAAAACATCCGTCGATTGGAAGATACGCGAGAGGAAATAAATTACAATAACCCCCAGTTTGTGTTTTGAGGGAACTATTAAACAACAACATTTATGAATAAACCAATTTTAAACTATGTGAAGCTTTAGAACATGAATACTGCTGGCAACACTGCTATGCAAAAAGTTTATTTATGGTAAAGTTTATTTTGAAGTTCAGTGCAAGGTTTTACAGCTCTTTCTTGGATGTAGTTTGGTTGTGGGCTAAGCGGCTGGATGTCCTGTGCCAATTAAAGATTACTCCNCGACCGCTGACACGTTGGTTGTCTTCAGCAAATCAACTTGAAACCATTGCTCCATGTCTATGGGCTCTGCGCACCAGGCCCCAAATGAATCCGAACTCCTAAAATTGCGAGAGAAACATTTGTGAGTGAATTGGAATCTGAGTATCGGCCTCTATTTAGTTTAAGAGATATGCTGTTCAAGGCTCTCATTTTACGGGAAAACTCGGAAAGGAGGGCGAGCTAAAAGAAAACACGAGGACGTTGGGGCTGTTTTCAATTTCAAATCGATTCCTGGTGCAACGCCGTTAAATGAAAATGCGTTAGATTTATACACGAACATAAGCATGTCACCAGGAATCGCTATGAAACTGAAGCGAAGACTACTCAAAAATAGCCTGTTCGCTTTGCCAGTTGAAGAGGGACACAAAGGAAATAGTTTCTCGGTTGTGTGACTATTTCGAGCAAAAGGAAGCCACGACCGTGGTATTGTCAGTGATCCAAGTCTCACTGTTTTATTTTCAGTAAAACATCCGTCGATTGGAAGATTCGCGAGAGGAAATGAATTACGGGCTGCAATAACCCCCAGTTTACTTTTTGAGGGAACTATTAACCAACAACATTTATCAATAAACCAATTTTAAACTATGGGAAGATTTAGAACATGAATACTGCTGGCAACACTGCTATGCAATAAGTTTATTTATGGTAAAGTTTATTTTGAAGTTCAGTGCAAGGTTTTACAGCTCTTTCTTGGATGTAGTTTGGTTGTGGGCTAAGCGGCTGGATGTCCTGTGCCAATTAAAGATTACTCCTGAATTTACTCCGGCTGAGTAACTTGTACTTACATAGTATTATTAAGCCTTCCAGCGGAAGGTTGTTGCCATATACTCATTGATGTGGATGCGGAAAGCTGGGAATCCTGTATTGAATGTGATGCCAGGCCAAGGGGCGAAGAACAACCTGTAGATTGTGACAAACATGATTTGGTAATGCTACATATTGGTCAAGTTATATTTTCAAAATCTTGCCTTGCCTGCCGCAGTTGTTGTTGGAAAGTTTTATAGAATATAGTTTGCTTAGTTTGCTTGATAACCTAAGTCAGTAAGCCAGTCAGTCAGTCAGTCAGTCAGTCAGTCAGTCAGTCAGTCAGGTTACTTTGAGTCTGCGAGTCAATGAGTTAACAGTCAGTCAGTCAGCCAGCAAGTTGGCCAGTCAGTCAGTCAGTCAGTAGATAGTCAGCCAGTCAGCCAGTCTGTCTGTCTGTCAGTCAGTCAGTCAGTCAGGTTACGTTGAGTCTGCAAGTCAATGAGTTAACAGTCAGTCAGTCAGTCAGTCAGCAAGTCGGCCAGTCAGTCAGTCAGTCATCAGTTTCAAAAGTTAGTTAGGTTGTGACTGGGACACTTCAGGGCTCAATTTTTCAAACTTTTAAAAATTGTTATTAAAAAAAGCCTTTCATTTGTCTCATTTGCTCTCAAAATTTTGTTCATCTCAACACATAGAGAGCAATCTACATTTTAATTATACCGTTATCTGTGTTTTAGCAAAACTGAAGCTGCCTTAAGAGAAGTTATCTTCTTTAGCTGTACATTTATAATCAAAGGAAGCTCAAAACTCCCTAGCCTCAATCTCGCGCCGAATCACATTTGTGCGAAGCCTGGGATTAATCTTCAAATGAAATGCCTAAACAGTTTTTTCCTCTCATGTTAAATGCAAAAGAAAGTTACACATATCAGTTCAGCAAAACTCAAAATCACTACATCAGTCGTTTCCTAAAGTGAAATTAATAAGGAAAGTTCATTCCTACAAAGGTAGTAAAAAGAATTGTTGAAATCCAGGACAGTTATGAAATTGGCTCCAATTGAATCGAAACTGACCTACAGTCGAAGCACGAAAAGCCAAGGAAATAAACAGCAAATTATGCCCTTTCCTTCTTTTATCAATAAGTCGACTCGATCAGTGTTATTTCAGGAAAATCGAGCTAAGATAAGGGGAAGAAT